TGTACATCAAAGGATCGAACTAGTTTTCTTGTCTCATCAACAAGGCGGCGCACACCGAGCCTTCAATTTCGCTATGACATGAGCGTAACCCCTGGATATCGAGGATGTCTCCCCTCGGGTCACGGCTTTTCCGCATTTTATTGAGGTCTACCAACCTTTTCAAAATCTCATTTCTGGATATCACAGATGAACTTTTGAACCGCTTCATATACATTTTGTTAATTCGTACAGCACAGTCATCTGATTTGATTAACAAATACAATATTTGAAACAAATGAGAGAAAACTAGTATTGTAAGGAGAACGACATGCATAGCACAACGCACGTGTATGCATTCCGACCACCATTTTGAAGGTCACTCGAAAAGTCGCATTCACTCGGAAACCTGTCTAACACTTTTCTTTTTATTGTGCGTCCTATGTTTGAGCGGTAAGCGGCCTTCCCCTCGATGACTCGGTGACGCAGTGTTCATGGTGTCCTCAGTATCTGTACTGTCCTCTCTCGCGTCATCAAGGTCGCGTTTATACTTGATATGTATACGGATTTTCATCCCCGGCGTCTGTTCGTACTGATCCGTCGTCTGATCTTCCTCGTTCTCATCTTCCTCCTCCCTGGCTTTTTCGTCAGTGTCTGGCTCCGCTTCATGGCCATGGAACCCCGGAATCTCCCCCTCCTCTGACGCCTCAGCCCCACCCTCGTAATCCGTTCTGTGGGTATTGCACGTTGAGTCTGCCTCCTCGATTACACTATGCTTACGGTAACCAGGAAAATTTGAACCGTTTCTTTTATTCCTTCTATTCCGAATCTCATTTTCCCGTAATACACGGTAATCTGAAATTGTCAGTTGCTGTTCGGCACCAGGACGCTTTTGGCCCTTGCCAGTGATTCTAGGTAGTTTGTCATACACATTGAGTTCTGGTTTCCGGTTCGTATGCTGCCATTGGGTCGTTTCCGGTGTGTTCGCACTTTGATTTTTATGGTTGATAATATTACTGTATTGTTGATAGTCCTCAAAGTCCTTCGTGGGCGAGATATGCGTGGTGAGTTGTGTGGTCGTAACTAGAGTCGGGGGTGGATACCGGACCACGGATTCCGGCTCGTTGTGTTTTTGAACAGACGTGATTGCTAGCAAATCAGGCGCGGTGAGGTCCACTTCCTCTTTTGTTAAACCGTTCATTGGGGGAAGACGTTGGTTCTTCTTAAGAATATTCTGTCCTGACAGACAAGTAGAATTCACAAAATGAAGATGTTTTTTCAAGTCATAAATCCTACGATATCGTTTTTGGTATTCTATTTCATTATAAGCATGTTGTTTTCCATGTCTTTCTGGAGTTTCAAGCAGATCGTCAGACGATCGGCTGAATTTCCTGTCTTTGGTGTGTGAGTTTGTCTTTGACAACATGGAAGTCTGTGATGTTTTCGTGTCCGTACTGGACTGTTTAGTATAATCCGTGCTCACAGACACTAACGACTCACTCCCTCCAGTTACCGACTCCGTAGTTTCCATGTTTTCCTCTGCATCTCGCAAACGATGGCGTTTTTGACGCCTTTTTCGTGTCCCATCAAAGGTGGGCGACATCATTTGACGGGGCGAAACACGTTGATTTTCGTGAACCGGTTTGGTCTTCATCCAGGAGTGGACCTGGCGGTCGATGTCCTTTTTCCATTGGTCAGTGTTGAGGTGAACACCAGTCTTTCCCCGTCCGGGCATGCCCATCGTGGATTTAGTGTTGCTATATCCGCCCAGCTCTTCGTTCAGAAAGGTCACCTGCCTGCAATACACACAAAGCAGTCAGAAACATATTTTCAAAAAGTCTTAAATGATCAACAAGTTGTCAGAAACAGGCAACAAAAAGATGCAGTGTAATACTCGCTAGTGTTAGCCCAAGTGAGAGTGTCACCTAGTTACAGTTACCCTTCCAGTTGTCATGGTACCCACCTCTCACTGATACGTTTCATGTGTAACGAGGACAACTGTTGGAAGGATTCGTGAACTTTCGTTTTAGAAATGACTCAAGGAGTTCAGCTCATAATTTGTAAATACTTCCAAAGAACCTATATTATAGCAGATGTAATGTAACTGAACAATTGAACGCTATCAACATTTCCAAAATAAGACAAGGAATAAAATCTACTACCTGTATAATAACCTTACACAATTTGAAACTTTTTCGTCATGACACAAGGAGTAGAAGAGTCTCCCTAAATTTTATATTGAAAATGTTTAATCAAATTAAATAAAGCTATTTTGAACTACGGTTAAGATGAATGTAAATTCAGTGATGCCATTCTTTGCGCATTATTTAAATAAATCCTAAATTTGAGTCCCGTTCTTGCATCTTTCCAAGTTTACCCTACAAAGTGCCTTATATAAAGCGCACAAGACTTCTGTTACATTTCAAAATCACAAAAATCACACAACCCCTGGCTTCACTCCTGTAAAATATGACCTTATCAGTGCTTCCCTACTTCTGAAGCACAACAATCAGTAACTGACGAAAAATAATATAGTAATAATAATAATATACAACATTCATATAGCGCCCTATATATAATTTGTAAAATTACTCTAAAGCGCTCTACGACATATGGATAATAGTATTATTTATATCTGATAAACGAAAAAGGCTTACAATCACCATTTTACTTTAAGCAAGAAGTTAATCACCCCAATGTGCATATGAATGAATAAATAAAGGGTAATATGTACATGACGTCTGTGCAAAGAGCATTAAAGGCAGACGTAAATAGGTGGGTCTTTATATCATTCTTGAATTTGGCCAGGGTGTTTGACTTTCTAATGGCAGATGGTAAGCTATTCCACAACGTGTCCGAACCCCTCCCAAAGCACCTGTTTCCATATACAACACCATGCTTAATCGTCAACATATTGTTAGAGTCGATACAGCAAACTAACAACGGTATTAAAACAGTACTTCATATTGGTGGCCATTATAGTAATACGTGCTTGACCCTTGGGAGAGAAATGGTCCATTTGTCTGAGTTGTTATCGACATCCTTAGAGGTGACAGGTACCTGTGGTGTCACGGACAGTACCCGAGTCCACACCTGATTTGGTTAGTTACCGCTTGATCACAACAACACCGGTAGGTCCTGATAAGTCAACACCTTAATTAAATCTAAAAGTGATCGAACCTTACAGAAAACGAAAATCGGTCAAGTCCTGGCTAGAACAGTTAGATAATGATAATTATAGAAAATTACTTTATTTACTAGCCTCTGTACCGAACACTTCTAAACAAAAAAAGTGTCAATGGTTTTTGAGTTGCTAGTCCACTTAACTTACACTTAGTCGTAGTGCTCACATGAACTAAAATAAAGGAAGCGTTGTGTTGAATCGAATTTTGTCAACACAACTAATATGATATAATACCAATCTTTCAAAAGTATGTTATTTTGTGATTTCAATTTAATGTTAACTGCAAAAAAAACATTCGAAAAATAAATCTAGGTAAGCATACATGGACTTTGCACCCTGTGTAATGTATCAAAGGCTAAATGTTTCACGATCGATATAATTATTTTCGAAATGACACATTTGTTATTGACAGCTTGCGAGTAGATAAATCGATAACGATTGCTCTTGACTTAAGTCTAACAGCAGAAAGCAATTAATTATCCTGCAACGTTAAACAATTATTTCTCTCTATACCTTGACAAGCAATAATAACTTCTCCCTATGTTTAGAGTCAAAATAATTACTTCTTCCTATCATATAACGTTAGCAAAATGTCTTCCCCTCTGCATATAACATAACATCTATATGGTTAAACATGGATTACTGATTTCTCCCTGTTCTACATCACTGAACAACGACTTTTATGTCTAGTGATGACCTTTTTCCTATCCCGTACTACAAATATTTTATAAACATACCATATATTGTTAATCATGGACGTTGTGGTATTATATACTGTCAAATAATTGTTCTTCCCTAACGCTTAAGATTTATATCGATCATATAACATTGAACAAGGGGTTCTCCCCGTCACAGAAATCTTCACATATCGCTATAGATACCTATTTCTTCCTTCCATACAAAGATCAACGTAACCCAAAGGTGACTGCACCTTAAAAACTTTGTAACAGATTCAGTTTGCCAAAAATGAATTAAACTGCATCATACAGCTGTTTCTTTATAATCTATTTAGGATCTCCCTACTACATCTGGTTATTATCTATATAAGATCTTCCTACTACAT